TTCTCCTTAATTCTAGGCTGTATCTCTCTTTAATGATCTTCACCTGTTACTTCTTGTTCTGTCCTCAGGTGCTTTGGAGAATAGGTTGACCCCCCCCTTCTCTGTAACAGCCCCTCCAATATTGGAAAGGCTGCTATCATGTCACCCATAGTCCTTCTCTTGGATTAGACATTATCAGTTGCTGCAAAAGTTCATTGTATGGTTGGATAAGGTTTTAACAGTTCAAGATTTGGAATTGTGATATTCTCAACTGTTAGCTCTATTTGAAAATGTCACTAAGTATGGCTGGGAGTCCAAATATTCAGACTCAATGTATTTGAAAAGGAATATAGGAGAAGAGCTATATGTAGCAAAACAATGTTTTGCTACATATTATAAATGTTTGCATAGTAAACTGTTTTGCTAATACTGTACAGAATTGAAAACTGTATGGAATGCCCAGATTTATAGAAAAGCACAATATTATCATAATTAAAAATTGGTTATGTAGTGTTCTTTAAATTCTTAACATTTTATTGGGGGAAGACAAGAAGAAATTTGAATACATCACTTAGTATAAAACAATAACATCTGTCAATTGCCTTATTACCTGGGAAACTCCCATTACATTTTGTATTAGTGCAAATGTTCTTTTCTCTCAGATAAGACCCTGAAAATCTGACACTATGTTTAACATATACAACTCCAATCCTAAAACAACTGTATCCATAGTATTTTTATCTCAAAAGTTAATGGCACATTTCATTCAACACATTCAACAAAAAGTTGACTTAAACTACAGATTATCTAAGTCCATTAATCAAAATATTTATTTCCTCATCCATGGCAAAATTCCCAACATACTTTATGTTTGATATTTATATTAATTCTGGCCAACATTTATGGAGAAATTTCTCTTGAAAAAGAAACTTAGCAGTAAACTATACAGTAATTGGAAGCATCCTTATTCCTAAATTCCTTTATACTGTTCCAAGATACTCCTACCTAAGAATAACCAAGCCTGATGAACCATTAAATAGATAAGAGCAGCTCTAAATTCTTTTCCAAACCATTTAACATTCCAAGTATAGCTTAACCAAATACAGATGACATTTAAAAAGTCCTTTTTATATTATTGAAATGTGCTGTCAAAGAACACAATCAATAGAGCATATGAAACCAAAAAGGAAAATGGATTATTATGCAACATTTCCTATGTGCCTCAAAACAAGCTAAGCAAAAGAACCAACTGGAAGGTAGGCAAAGTATAACAACGATTTTATAAACATCTTTTAATAATTTATTCAAAGGATATAAATGTTTTTTGTTTCTTCCATTTTCGTCCATAAGTTCTACTCTAAATGTTTACACTATTAAATACACAGATGAAGGTAAAAAAGGTACACACACAACCATTCTACCTGTAACAAGTGATACTTCATTTTGGTATTATGAGATTAGGATAGTCTCCTGTGACAATATAAATTAAGACTTAGCATAAAAGATGGTATTTTCAACTGTCAAGGACATATTTGTGATCATATCCGGTTTCAAGCAAACATCTTCTCTATGTCAGGAACTCCTTTCATCTTTATTAGCTGGCTTCAAACAGTTCTACTTCATATCTTAAGAAATCATAGAGGTCATAACTTTTATTCAGACAGTAGTGTTTATATCCTGTTTTTTCAGCATTTAATGCCACAAATTCTCATTGGAGACTGAACCATTCTCTCTTTTTCCCCAAAAAAATTCTACCTGCAGCCTTCATATGTAAATTCAGTAATAATGTCAGTAATCACTGAAAATATCATCCAAAGATTATGTAAAAATACTACAAAAAGGCTGAACCCTGAGAGTGTCTTAGTTAATAGGATATGCAGGAATCTCATTAACTATCCAAAGATTTACAACAGAGGCTAGATACTCCAGCTATTCAATTAAAATATCTAGAATCCATTTTCTTACTTTACAATCAGTCAGTTTAGATCTTCAAAACATAAAATTATTGTCAAAGGTCATATTTCTGTTCTCATAATGTCTAACTAATTTAAAATTGTAAACTTCCCTTGTTTCTGCTTTCTTAGTACATTTTCTTAAACATATAATGTTAACAAACTCACTAAAAGACATGGTCTCGGTTACAATATTTCATGAGTTACTATGAAGTCTGAAGCTAATAAGACAGGAAGCAAAAAGCCACAGACCATTATGTAAATATGTCATAGTGCCATCTGTATTTCAGGTTAGGAAAGAGAGACCTCAGACTGGAACCCCAGAACTGACAAATACAATTATACACTCATGGAGAAAAATGGATTACTATATTTTGTAATAGTTGATTTTCTGCAAAGGCATTTCTCCTTCTAGGTGCTATAAAGTTTTTATATAATTATACTGAGTCCTTGAAGGTTTTACTGTTGGGTAGTTATTGACTATAGTATATATTTATAAGAGACTGGACAGCCATTTGTCTGAAATGGTATAGGGTTTCTAGCCTGAGCAGGGGGTTGGACTAGATGACCTCCAAGTTCCCTTCCAACTTTTTTTAAAAAATATTATTATTATTATTATTGTTGTTGTTATATATGCATATATGCACATCTAAATAGAACATAATGAAAACACGCCTGCAAGAAGTTTGACAGCAAATTTCAGCTCCTTACTCCTACACTATGGGAAGACATTTCAGACTTCAGCCCCAGGATTTAAACAATGGCTCTGGTTTGTTTGCATTCTGCTGATGTTGGATTAGGTTACTAATGCTTTCTTCCATCAGAAAAAGTGATGACCCTGATAGTTAAGCCACACAATGAATCAGCTAGTGGGGCAGAATTTAACAAAATACGCAATTCCAATGCCTCTTCCCAACCCAGGATCCAACAACTTTCTTACGCTAAGGACTTTCCACCTTGCCTGAAAAGTATAATTATCTTGGACATTTCCCACATCCAGAGAGGGAGAGAGGGAGATGCTCCTGGCTGCTTCAGGATCAAAGGAGAAGAAAAAAAAGAAAAGAAAACATGGTAGTAATGTAAGGACTAAAGTTGATAAGATGAGAAGCAAAGGACTGCAGATCAGATTGATATGTAAACATATTCTTTCCTCTTTCTTTTTGTCTTGTTCTATTTCATAAAATAAATACCTCTCCCCCACCTCCAAATAATCACACCGCAATTGATCTTCGTATTGTAGTCTGGGAAAAAGCAATGAAAGTTTCATTGCCACAAAAGGAATGGGCAAGAAAGGATTGCACTTGAGATCACACACATTCAAGCACATATGCATACAACTGGATTCTGCCTTCTGTAATAGTTGGACTTCTGCATAAATGTTTCTTTTTCAATTTTGCAATAAAGCTTTAATCTAATCATGCTGGGTCCTCGAAGATACTGCTGTTAGCTAGTTACTAAGCGCAGGGGAGAGAGAGAGTGTGTATAAATGTCTGAAGACACATGAATCAAGCTATGCCTGCATGAAGTCTGACATCTAATGACTTTTGCTTTTTCTATTTAAACAATAACTGGAGGCAGATCTCTTATAAAATGTCTAATTAACACTCAACATTCAATTGCTTTGCAAAGAATTGATTGCCTGGAGAGCTCTGAATAAGAGAGGGAAACATTGTTTTTAATAAAAGGGAAAAAAGAAATAATTTCAGACGGTTTGGTCAAAATGACCAAATGCAGGTTCTGACATTGGAATGCAAGCTCTGGTCTAGCAATATGCTTGTTCAATGTCACACACCCCCCCCCCCCAAATCCATGATTTTAGATCAGTGTTTCTCAACCTTGACAATTTTAAGGCATGTGGACTTCAACTCCCACTGCTGGCTGTGGAATTCTGGGAGTTGAAGTCCACGTGCCTTAAAATTGTCAAGGTTGAGAAACACTGTTTTAGATGTTTTCGTTTTTCACAGATTGCTTGTCACATGAACAGTAACATAGCATCAAAACACTGAGTAAGCATTTGGTAAAATTGATGTATTTTTTAAATTACAGGAATGAAGGCAAAGTTGCTATCACTTTATAGCCTTAAAAGCTTTTCATCTCATGACAGAATAACAAAATAGGACGGGACCTTGAAGGTCTTCTCGTCCAACCGCAAGAAACCCTATATAATTTCAGACGAATGGCTGTCCAATCTCTTCTTAAATACCTCCAGTGTTGGAGCACCCACAACCTCTGTAGGCAAGTCGCTCCATTGATCAATTGTTCTATCTGTCAGGAAATTTCTCCTTAGTTCTAGGTTGGTTCTCTTCTTGATTAGTTTCTATCTATTGCTTCTTGTCTTGCCTTCAGGGGCTTTGCAGAATCTCTCTGAATTACATGGTCCCTTAAGTATTAGTTTTTAAAGATGTCACTTGTCTATGAGACATTCAAAAGCAGTTTGACAATATGATAACTCAGTTTAAAATTTGGCTCAGAAAAGTGATCAGTAAACTTGCAGAATAATACATTAAATATAACAAATTTTCCAGTTTAGAAAAAAACAACAACATGAGGTTTGACTCCAGAAGTTATAGGAGGTTTTTAAGAAGAGTTTGGACAGCCATTTGTCTGAAATGGTATAGGGTCTCCTGCTTGGGTAGGGGGTTGGACTAGATGACCTCCAACGTCCCTCCATATCTGGTATTCTGTATTCTAAATATAATTAGAATAATTATAGGCTCTGAACTGTATAAATTTAAATCCTACAGAATGATCCTCTTTTTTGCTCACACTGCAAGGGAAGACATATGATAGAAACTGACATTCTGGAATATCTACCATTTTTCCTAGCTACCTCTGCTCAAACTGGAAGCCAACCTACTTTGTAGTCATCAAATCCAGGGCTTTTCACAGATTGTACCACTTTTAGGACATGACAATATTTGAATACTACCAGTGCTTAGCAAGGTGTCAAAAACCTGATGACTAAAAAAAAAAAAAGGGGGCGAATTTTGGTCTTTACAGGTTAGATTCATTTGTTATAGAAATGGCTAGTTTATAATATTATGGAAAAGTAAAAAGTTGAGGTTCAGTGTTAATGCTTCCTTCCAACTGCAACAGTGGAACTCAGAAGTCAATGCCTTTTCTTTTCTTTTTCCCTTCTCCCTCTCACTTTTCCTCTGACCCTTTGCTCGCAACCCTCCCTCACACTTTGCTAGCAAAAGTCTCTAGCTTGTTCTCATTCACTCACACATTGCTTGAAGCTTCTCTCTTGCTTTATTCACTCACATGTTGCTCGCAAAAGCTTTTATCTTGCTCCATTCACTCACACGTTGCTGGCAAAAGCTTTTATCTTGCTCTCATTCATTCACACGTTGCTCGCAAAAGCCCTTTGCTCGTTCTTTCACTCACCCTTTGCTTGCAAAGGCCGTTTGCTCACTCTCTCCTCACCGCTTCGCTAACAAAAGCCTCTTCTCTTCTCTCTCTGTGTTTTTTTTCTCTCTCCCGCCAAAACTTGCTCCTTTTATAGCTTCTTCTCTCTCTGCCTCCTCTTCCTCCTTTTTTCTTCCGGGTGTGCCAGAAGCTCCAATCAGCATGCAGCTGCACATGCAGATCCTGGGGCTTCTGCTGAGCCCTGCAGCTCCAGCTGATCTCCTCCAGGTCTGTGCGGCACTGTTTTAGCTGATTCTCTCCCCCGCTACACTTGGCTAGGGGTCGCATACCACCTGCCAGGTGCTAAAGTACCATTGGTGGTACGTGTGCCACTGGTTGAAAAGCCCTGATCGAATCCTCATATTTTATGATCTAGCTATCAAGGACTAGATTTACACATCAAGCTTAATTATGGATTATTGAATAAATTATAATTGATTGAGTTTGAACAGTATACTAAATCTAAACAAACCATTGTTTGTTTTAATGCGATAGATGAATCCGATCTATATTTACCAACTCATATCTTTTGATTCCTGCAGTTGAAATGTATTATGTCAGAATGATTCTCCTAGTCTTTGCAGAATCTCCCAACAAAAGGGATGAATTACATTCTTCTTTATTCTCCACAACATTAAAATTAGTGAGAACAATATGAAACGAGAATTTTAGCCATACAGGTAAAAAAAGATAAAATAAGTTACTTCTATTTTATTTTAATTACACAATGGAAGAAATGATTTAATTTCACTCTTTGGGAAAGAAAGTCAACTAGCTTAAGACAAAATCAAGGATGTCTGAGATATCAGTTGCTCTTCTTAGTAGTTCAATGTAGCTCCAATAAAAATGTAAATATATTTGGTCATATTTGGCACGTACCTTTTAATTTTTTTTAATTATTTCTGCTTCTGGCATTTTATAGGAAAAAAAATACAAAGCACCCTGTAACTACTCTAGTTTCTGAGATTTCATTAAATATTATCCACACTTTGACACAATGGTAATAATTGGAAACATCATTATAAAAATGAGCAAAAAGGAAAAAAAATTAAACTAAATTCTTAGAATATGAAATTCTGTCATGTACTGGGCTCCTATGAATTGTTATTTACATTCATAGTTCTGTCTGAAATCATTTCGTTATTGATTCCTTTTTACTACCACTATTTATTTAATAGTGCTCTTCAAATTCAGCTAAATCACTCTTTCTGGAAAATGGCCAACTAATCCTAATCCTATTCAAATTAATTATGATGTGCAGTTGCTGAGATTTAAAGTGAGAAACAAAAGTGTAAGAATAATTATGCTTCATTTAAACTTTCACAAGTTGTAGTATTTTCAAAGGGATTCTAATAAAATAGATGATTTAAAAAAACTAATGGATGAAAATTTAAGACTTAAGAATTATATTACCTAAAATTTGCAACAACATTATATTAGGTTAGGGCTTTAATTAATACACTTTATTTAAATGCAAATTCCGTTGTCTCTTTTCTTTGAACTAGATCTGCACAAGTTTTGGAATACTATTACCAATATAATATTGAATTCCAATAGATTATTTTACATAGACAATTTTAACCCTTTAAACATAGCATCTGGATTAAAATATAATTCAAATGCTTGTGAATTATTTTTATATTTTTATTATAAATGTAGAACAAATTGATTAACATTACTATGCTAAATCACCCTGTGGAAAGAAAAGCTGGTGAACATAAAAATCAGGACCAGTAATGTGAATTTTTTTCAGATAATGTCTTAATAATGACAATGAACGTTTCTTGCTTGGTTGTATATGTTCCATAAAACCCAAAACTATATTAACCACTTGTAGGATTAGTGCTCTCAAAAATGTAAGGATTCATGTGTCGCAATATGGAAAGAAATTATTTATATTTGATATAAGTAACATAGTGGAGTACTGAGGATTGCCCTGAAGTTATATCTATAATGCAGAAATTTTAAGACCACAAGCAACATTAATTTAGTTTCTTACACTGCAGCATCAAGAACTTGTGTAGTTCATAAAGGATACTAAAAGCTCCTGTTGATTTTAATATTTCCTGCATATATATAAATTTTTTACAGTGTTTCAAAATGACATTTAAACAAGAATAGGTAAAATTAGTCATAAAAATGGTGAGAAAAATAGGAAACAGTCAGCTATAAGTAGGAAGAATAATGGAAAACAGAAGCATTCAGATCTAGATACTCAGGTTTCATATTAGTACCCAGGTTGCTAATAAATATCTACTTCTATCACAGCATATAATTTTATTGGATTATTGTAAAATAATATTTTCAAATGAATAGCAAAATATTATTTCTAAAGAAACACACCACACGTATATAAGTGTCAGACAAGAATCAGTGAGAGAACTTGTGGAATCACTAGCAGAACTCAATCTAAAAATACACAACTTTTGTTGAAAATAACGTTTTTGAAATAATCTAAAGTCATGTGAGCAATAAATGGACTTGTCAACACACTCCCCCAGATGGCTTTAGATTAGAAAATATTTTATGCTAAGCTATGTAATAATCAAAGCAATTTGTCAAACAAACAAACTTTCCTCAAAACAGCCCTATAATTAGTATATACTAATTCCAAAATTATTTCAAATTATTTCCATGATGATATAGACCATTTTCCAAATCAGATTTTGTGCTGTAGTATGCTCAGCTCTTATGCTAAATACATCTCTGAGGTTTTTAATATTTAAAAAAATACCATAAAAATACGACAATTTACCTGAAAGAAATGTAGCGAAAAGAAATTCACAGAAATAATTTTAAACCTTGGATAAAGGATGCAAACACACAAACAAAAACTATTCTCATCCAAAACCATTGTCTACCAATTTCTTAATGAATAATGAAATATCTGTCAGTTAAGGAAGTATTCATTCTGTTTTTTACCTAAAAAGGTATTACACACAACTTAATACACTAAATTGCATTAGCACAGATCTCTAATTCCTGCTCAGAACATCAGATAATTACTTCCTATGACAAAAGACTGGGAACATATCTTTTGTACATGGTGTTATTTTCACACTGACCTGTATTCTTCAAATAGAGAACAGGAGGGGAATGAATAGATTTCAAAACGACGGTTCCATTTTGAATCAACAGTCTACCAAAAGCTTTTGAAAAAGAACTCAAAAGCAAAAGGACCGAAAACCCTGTTGCGGCTCAAATGCCTTAAGGTTGTTATTTGTAGCATGGTACTTTGTCAATTTGGCTTCATTTTACACAGCCCACTTTCACAAGTGTTACTGGATTAAAATGTGCCTAGCCTGACAATGAAACAGCAGAACCATCATGCATTGTTATGCAACTCATTGTCTGCAAGGGGGACTTGTAGCTGTTCTTTATTCAGCAAGTGCCAACTGCATGTTTAATCAATGTCACCACTCACTACCCTACGCAACTGAAGCCACTGACATTCCACTCTTCAGATCTGACTGGCTGCTAAGTTATGCAATGCTCTGAAGAATGCCTTGGGATTATTTGTCGGATGCTCTGAATGCAGGTGTGTAATACTCCTATTCTTGTCGCAAACAACTAACTTTGTTCCTTCTGGATAAAAATATAAACAGGGCAATATAACTGCATCTACTACATTTGGATTTACAATTCAGCAACATGAAGAAAACATCTTCAGAGAATTAACAAGCTCGAGAGCACGTTACAAAAACATGCATCTGGAATGTCTTGGGTAAATAGCTACATGTATATGACAAAGAGTGGGAGATTAAATTTTAACCGGAAGCCTCAGCTGTGTATCCACTATTGGTACAGAATGTGCTTCATCTGATCGAAGATTCAAAAAATTTAAAAGGGAACAAACATACAACCCGGATAAGAAGAGCAGGGTTTTCCTTTCAAACATAACGTTGTTTCAATGGATAACCAACATAAGGCCTGCATTTCTTGGAAGATATTATAACACTATTGCATCTGCAGCCTAATTTATCAAGAAATTGTTCATGCATGCATACAATTTCTGCTCTGACTGAAAGGAACAGCCCTCCATGAAGATAAGGCTGTTTTTCCACTGCAGTGAGGAGTAAGCAGCATGTCTGATGAGATTTTATTCCTGATGCAATGTAGGGTAAGAGAGGCTTTTATGAATCTTTAAGTGTAAATTAATGTATTAATGCTTGATTGCTGCAATCACTTTCATTTTAAATGGAATTAAAATATTCAAAAACATGTAGTTTCAATAGGCATTCAGTTACATGCCTTTCTGAATATAGTGTATAAATTGTCTGGGATTCCATTCAGATTAGACAATATTTTTTTCCAACAGTAATATTTAAATACAACAAATTGCAAATCCCAGTATAAATACATCTTGATTTTATGACACCAAAAGATTGTAAGATGAATTATGCAACAAAACTCACATTTAATCTATATTAACCACCACAAAACAAAAAAGAAACAGAAGACAATAGCTGGTATCTACCATACATTGTATATATAGCACTTCTTCAAAACCTTCTTAACACCATCGTGCTATCTGTTGCCACACTTTATGGTAGCATTTATACAATTTTCTCTTTTTTTCTTTCCAGTTTACATGCAGATTTCTAGATATAAAATCCACTAAAACCACCCTACCTTTTATATAAAAGGCTAACCTAATTTGTGCTATGTGATCAAACTTGTTCATTGACATATCAACATTTACTAATTTAATTACCTGGCTGTTTCCTGTTTATTTGTTTTTCAGTAAGTCACATATGTTTACTATGTAAAGTATAGATGCAGGTTCTGGGGGAAATAAACTATTCAGTTCAAAACTTAAAATTAGGTTGGAATGAATTATAAATTTCTCCTTTTTTACTACGAAAAAAACAAAATAGAATACATGTGCAGCAATATGTGGGTTATATACATGTTGGATTTGTGTGCATATGTATATGTGTGAAGGGGAGGGAGGATCCACAAAGTAAGTAATTTTTTTCCTTCTTTCTAGCCAGCAGTCCAAACGCTGGTGAAGGTCTTTGCAGAAAAAATGAGGAGCGCTGCCATTACAACGCTAGAAGATGTAAAAAGGCAAGAAGAAAGTGAGGAAAAAGAGGAATCTGTTTTAGCTCTGTTGGGAATAATTGGAACAGTTCTTAATCTATTTGTAATAGTTTTTGTGTATATCTACACAACCCTTTGATGGTTTTCTAGAAATCTGGAAAAGCACATAGTGCAAAGGTCAGCAATGACAAATAGGATCAGTGAACTCTATCCAACAGGAAACAAAGCCTCAAAAGAAGGTATACATTCCAGACAGAACTGCCCAGTTAAAGGCCCAGCACCACTGACCATAAAATATACCTTTGAATCTAATTAAGCGTATTACATGTAAATGAGTGTCAATATTCAATCTCTAAAATGCGTACAGTGTTCTTCTGCCAGTGAACATGGGAGACATTGATAATATAAGGACGTTACAAATAAAGATAATGGTGCCACAAAACCTACTTGTTTTATTTACCTGATCCCCATTAAGCTTCTGGATTCATTTAAATAACATTTGGGTTGGAATCCAGCGCACCTTCCTACCATCAAGTGCTAAAATTTATACAAGTATATATGAAATGTAGAAAGAAGAACACTGTTAGGCATCATATTATAAATAAATAAAATATTCATTGATTAGCTTCCATGATACTTTTATTTCTTATACTGCTGACAATTCAGTCAGGTACTCCAATATAATGCTTGTAGGTATTAATTTATATCCATGCTTATAAGCTACACTCTATATAACATGTAATTGTAAAACAATGTTTGCATTGCAAATTGTTATTTCAAGGGCAATTTTCATTAAAAAAAAGAGAAGATCATGGTTTGAGGAAACCACAGTATTTGCTATCTAATATAGAAGTCTGACTTTAACAAAATATTGGAAAGAAATACATTGAGTAATTGAAATTTGAATCATGCATAGTTTAAAAACAGATGGTTCTAAAGTATTATGGTATTATATTGGTTCCAAACATATTCTCCATGGCCAATGGCCTGGGGAAATCTTTCATGCATTTACTTAAAATTCCTCTTAATTGATCTAAATAAACATTTTTACAGTTTTAAAGTGTCTCTTGGACTATAATGCTTATTGGGGGAAACCATAATGAAACCAATGGGATGTATTTATAATTTTTTTTTTTAAAAAAGGACTGTGCTGTTAAACTAAACCAATCATTTAAAGAATTATGGTCCATGGCACCGCCTTTCTTATTTTGCCTATATTTTAAAGAACATTTTAATTATAAGAAACATAATTAATATTTGAATAAATAATCTCTGAAAAATGTAATGTCTTTGAATACTAGAGGTGAAATATAACAAGGTAGTTGTCCTTCATTACTGTTTAATATCTGATGTAACTCTAATTTCTAAAACAGAAAATAGGACACTAATCAGATGAAAAACTAAGTCCAACGAACAGGTAGGTTGAACCTAACTTCTAAGCTGAAGCCAAAGTTTTTATCCACCGTAAGGACCCATTTTTAATTTAAAACACGTACTGTATCTTGTTAAGAACTAAATTAATCCTTGGGCCAAATGCTCAGACCTATAAAAGGACATTAAGAAGACAAAGAGTTTTATTTCTCTGAAATGCAAGGAGACCTATATTTGGACTTTGGATGCAAACAAAGGGATATAGAATAAGTATACATATAGTAAATGGACAAAAAGAATTGAGAAATGATATTGCTAACAAGACTGAAGTAAATGAAAAGAAAAACAGAAGAGTATAAGAACAGAAGTGAAAAATGAACATACGGTGTTTGAGCAAAGATGCATATACAGAAGAAAAGACAGTATAGGGCACATGCATTTTTAATGAATATTTTTGACAGGAAGTCCATGATAAGTAATAAAAAACAGAAATCAGTAAAGCATAGATTGTTGCAAGTTATTTATTAATCCTTGTCAAACTATCAGGTACAATTAAATGTCTCTTCAGATTAGCATTTGAACTTGACAATGGTTATGTTCAATTTAGAATGTTTACATTTTTTCCAGGCAGTCTCAAGAAGTCTTAAAGTGACCTAAAGTGGCATGCCTGCATATGCACGGGCACACACACAGTTCTAGAAAAATAATTTTGAATAAGAGATTTTGTTTAAAAAATATATGTGCTTACATGTAATATGTCATGATATATCTATACCTACAAAGATCAGAATTGTTTAATCAATGGTTCTTCCCATGACACTCTATCAAGGTGAAAGCTGGACTTTAAAAAAGTAGGATAGAAAGATCATAATATTTTTGAACTTTGGTATTGGAAAGGACTATTGAAAATACCATAGGTTGCTAAGAAATTAAACAAATGTGTCATAGAACAAATCAGTTAAAATTCTCAGTGAGACAAATGACCAGGCTTAGACTATATTCTGGACACATTTTGTGAAAACCAGTTTTCTTGAGAAGTTCATGATGCTTGGATAGGTGGAGGAAATTGTTACAGAATTTGCTGGATCTGAACCACATGTCCTTTAATTAATTTGTCCCACTGATCTCTATAATAATCTGACTATTGAATATTAAGAATCAAGTTCTTAAAATGTCTGAGCAGATAGTAGTTCCAGGCTGACATAATTTGGGCCCATAATTAACCAAGGTTGGACCTTCTTGAGAATATTACACTGTTGGCAGGATAAAAATAGTGTTGTTGGTTTTGAACATTGGTGTTGAAAAAGACTCATGAGAATACCGTGAACATCTAAGAAAACAAAAAAATAATTGAACAAATCAATCCCAAGTTTCCATTCAAGGCTGATATGAGCAGGTTCAAATGATCTTATTTCAGGCACATTATTGGAAAACCTAGCTCTCTGAAAAATACTGGGAAGGGTGGAAGAAAAAAGAAGAGGAGGACGATCAGCAGCAAGGTGTATGGACTCAGTTATAGTGCACTGTTGGAAGACTTGGAAAACCAGATTAGAGACAGATCATCATGGAGAAAACCTACCTATGCAATTGTTAGGAGTTGACAACACCTTGATGGCATATAATCAGTCATAGGTTTAATACAAAACCTTCTATCCAGCATCTGAATATGCTACTGAGTGGCTTAGATGAATGTTCTAATTATCTACTACAATAAAATCAACTTTTCTAAAGGGCTATGAGATGTTGACTATTTAGAATACTTTTGAAAGTTAAATCCATGGGTGAACCGGAACTCGGGAGGAGGTGGAATTTGTCTCAGTAGAGGTGTCCTTGGGATATAATGACTAATTATTCACTATATTTCTGAAACAGCCCTCATACCACAGCATTTGGCATAAAACACTTAGAAAGAGATACACTTTTATATGGCCCTAAATTAGTTTGAAGTTGAATACTAAAACTAGGCAACCTATAACCCGTTGGATTATCCTTTCAGAGATATTTCCTGAAAGGATATTTCCTGATGTATGTTTATGGAGATTCTCAGTCACCCAGGTTATGGTTATCAACCTTGAAGTTATTTTGCTTCTCATCCAAGAAGCTTCTTCAGTTCTGAAGAAGCTTCTTGGATGAGAAGCAAAATGTCTTCAAGGAAAAAAGAAAGGAAGTCTAGTTGCTTTTTGAAAAGTATCTTTAGGACATTCAGAGATGTATCTGCCTTGAAAATAACCCATGTTATACCATATAGCTCAATCAAACATCAGCAGACAAAATGTTTTATGAACATTTGTATTATGTCATAAATGTTTTAGGATAATGTTTTTATGTCACATTTTATAAATTTATCAAATTTCAATCTCATGGCAGGCATGGATCCTGAGTTTTGAATGCATCCTTGTAAGTTAGCTTATTTGAACTTGTTGTTCAGTCGCTAAGTTGTGTCTGACTCTTTGTGGACCATAGCATGCTAGGCAACCCTGTCCTCCATTGTGTCTCTGAGTCTGCCCAAATTCATACCCATTGCGTTAACATTAAAAAAAAAAATCTAAAATCATGTGATTTGGCCCCATCATTTCCTGGCAGATAGAAGAAGAAATGGAAGCAATCCAAAGTCCAGAAGAGCAACCCAGAGATTACCAAGCCAGATTCTGCAATGCTCTCCATTGTAGTTTTGGAATTGACATCTTGCAGTCCCTAGTAATGGGTACTTTGTGAGGGTACATTCTGGATTGCAGAACACAGATATGTTATCCATCAGTAGAAGCAACTTTTGTAGCAATACAAAATACACAGACTCACCAATTGTTAGCTTTACAGATTTAATAACTTAAAACCAAATTCTCTCCTACTAATAGAAAATGGGATGGTCAACCATAGGATGAAATGCCAGATACTATCCACTTTTATTGTAAAAAAACACAGGTGCTAGAAATCTTAATGTCTGGAATGCAGGGACAATATCCATAGGGCATCAATTTTACATTCCTATACCAATACACTCCCAAACTACTAATATTTTGTCTCCCTCTATAATTTGAAACTCTAAAGGAAAACTTTAATCCTGCTTTTTTCCACTAGGGTAGCCAAGACCCTCTTTCCACTTTTATTACTGTTAATCAGTCTGGTCTCTTTGTATCTCCACCTATCTCGGGATTGAATATTTTGTTAACAGATACTGGTGCAACTTACTCTGTTCTGCAAGTCTCTTTCTTGTCCTTTTTGCCTCAGGGAAATATGAACATGGAAGCAGTGAGACTACATGCTTCCAAAATATGGCAGGATGGACAAAGAGAGGAAAAAATATCACTTTGTTTAGGATCATAAAATCATTAATCACTATGTGATTCTTTTTCTTCCCATTGTTCCAAATACTACTGTAGTTATTGTTATTATCCCTGCCAAACCACTCATTTTACTGTCATAAATCTTTGTTCTGTCTCCTTCAATGTATCTTTATAAACAGATTCTTGATTCAGATAGGTTGCAATTAATGTGAATTCAAATAATATGGTATCTGATTTAGTACAAATTATAAATTGATGCCAGGTTGTGTTTAATGCAACCCAAAATTCAGTTAATGTCAGGCTAGCACATGTACAATTGAGGCTAGCACACGAGCAATTGTGGCTGGGGTTTTAGACACTGCTAATTTTGGACGCTGACCTACCCTCAATTGGAGCATGCAAATTTGCTGAGATGTGGCTAGAGCACTCTGCATCTACCAGCATATTATAAAGATTAAAATAAAGAAAAAACAGTCTATGCTGCTAAAATATTTTGAGAGGCAATAAAGATATTTTTGTCAGGGTAAGTTTACCTTTAGGAATAATATTTAGATTTTTTTTTTGCTTTTTATAACTATCATGTTACTTTCTTAACCATACATTTATATTATATTTTTATCCTTTATGATAATATTTCATTAATATAGATATAAAAGTTATATTTAAAATTTATACAGTCTATTTCTATCGAGCTAGAATCAATTCCCCCATTTTCTATAGAAACATAACTTGAAATACTGTGAATTAAAATAATGCAACCATTTCATAGGATTAATTAGCTACACTAATCAAAACCCACCTGTACCTGTTATTCTTTTCCTCTCAGAGAAACAAGTACACTTGGACATGTTTACTCCAGGGATTTTAGATATTTGCAACATTATTTTGATTAGGAGCCGCCCAGAGTTTATTGAAATAGGGGCAGCTATATAAATGTAATAAACAAACAAAACAAACAAACAAACAAACAGGAATGAGTCCACAAGAAACACTAACTCTTCCTGAAGAAGCAAAACTAATATAGTATGTGGACAACCTCCTAGTGCAGGAGTGGGCAACCTTGTCTCTTTTATGACTCGTGGACTTCAATTCCCAGAATTCGTGAGCCAGCTGGCTCAGGAATTCTGGGAATTGAAGTCCACGAGTCATAAAAGAGACAAGGTTGCCTACCCCTGTCCTAGTGGTAGCTCTTGAAAACCACACTGGAAGGCATTCTTGTTACATCTGTCACTTAAGGGTTATAAAATATCCAGTAAAAACTTGCAATTTTACTTTTCAGAAGCTCCTTATTTGGGACACCTAATTTGGGAATCTATTTTAAAACCCAGTCATATTACCTGCACAGTAACATGTTCCATCACTCTTACTAAAAAAAGTTCAGAGAATTTTTCTAGGGACCATTAACTTC